CCGGCCCTAAATCGCCTCCTACGTTCCATGCTTCTCCTAGATATCCCCAATGATAAGCCTAACTATGATCCTAATGAACCTAATTCCAATCCCAACCCCTCCCCCCAAAGCTCCCCTAGACCCTTATCAGTTTGTCTGGAGAAGCCCAGCGAGCCAACCGGTCCCTGGGCCCTGGAGCACCGTTTCTACCCGCACGGCTGGCTCCAAGTCCTCAGCTGCGCCTTCTGGTTCCGCCAGCCCCACCTCGCCTACCTGCCCTTCTTCCTCGCCTACAGCCTCCTCCTCGCCGTCGTCTACTTCACCCTCATCGCCCCCCACGAGCTGACCCTCCTCTCCCTCCGCCCCACCATGTTCCGCTACATCGGAAACTTCCTCCTCTACAGCGTCCGCTGGGGAAGTGCCGCTGCAGCAAGTGGAGAAGGAAGTTAAGATTGGTAAATAGTTTGGTAGTATTTAGTAGTCCTAAGCTAAGCTAGCTAAAATAATAAACATGCAAACAAGTCTGAATANACTGACCCTCCTCTCCCTCCGCCCCACCATGTTCCGCTACATCGGAAACTTTCTCCTCTACAGTGTTCGCTGGGGAAGTGCCGCTGCAGCAAGTGGAGAAGGTTAAGATTCAAAAATAGTTAGATAGTATAAAGTAGTGGTCCTAAGCTAAGCTAGCTAAAATAATAAACATGCAAACAAGTCTGAATAAGTTGTAGCTGCTGCTGCTTTACTGCTGCACTGTACACAAAAGAGTTGTACAGTTGGGATTACCTAGAAATAGGTTTATAAAGAGAGATTGTCCACAGACTGAGAGACTGAGACTGTGTGCGCGAGTCAAAGTGATGTGTGTGAGTGGTATTGTGGTTTGCGTTCACAGATGATCAAAGGAGATGATTGGGAAAGAAGAGAGGAAAAGGAGAAAGGAAAATGGGGCACATACCTTGACTGGAGGGCAAGGCCTGGGTCTGCTTGTCTGTCTGTCTGTCTGTCTTTGAGTCTTTGAGGTGTGTCCAGTGAGGAAGGTTTAAATGTGTCATGTGCGCATGTCTGTTCTGTTGTCAAATTGGGAACATTTGAGATTGAGGTTGAGGGAAGGAGACATCGATCATTGGAGGAGGAGAAGGTATGGGAGGAATGGGAGAGAGAGAGAGGTAATTCTTGAGATGATATTTCAGGTAAGTTTGTACGTGAGTGAGTGAGAGTGTTTGTACTCCAAATCAAATCACCACCACCACTACCACCACTACTACTACGATTTGTGCACATTAAAGAGTATGGTGGCGATGAAGAGAAAGACGATGGTCCACGAGGCGGAGATGATAAAGCCAATGGCCACGTCAAAGTGGTGCAGCGGGTCCCAGCCGCGATAGAGCATGTACCGCACCGCCTCCAGCGACTTCGCCTGGCTGAAGAAGTTGGCGATGAAGACGAGGGGCGGGGGCATCGTGTCCACCGGCCATACCACACCTGAAAAAGTAAAAAATTTCGATTAAGTAAACTCCCAAAACTCCCGAAAAAATTGAAAAACTTACCACTGAGGAGAAACTGCGGAAACATGCTGCCCATACAGGCGGCCAGCGTGAAGCTCTCCTCCTTGGCAATGGCCGAAATCAGTACCCCGTAGCTCATCCCGCAGACGCCCTGCATGACAATGAGAACGCTGATCCAAAAGACCGGCCCGATGTTCGGTATCTCAAAGATGAAGAAGGCAATGAGGAGGACGCTGAAGGTCTGCAGAATGACCACCACCGTCTGGGTTATGACATGCGAGAGGATGTATTCGTTGGGGTTGACGCCCGACACCAGCGACCGCTCCAGCAGGCCGTCCTTCCGCTCCAGGACCAGGGTGAGGGCCGCTGTGGCGATGGAGGCGAAGAAGGCCAGCGAGAGGATGAACCCAGGGGCCATGAACTCGGTGACGGTAGGGTTGGCCTGGCCGAGGATGGGCTTGCCAATCTAAAGAGAAGAGGGGTGAAATTGGTGAGCAAGTTCGAAAATAGAATTTTGGGAGTTCTTGTAGTACGTGAATGGGCGGATCCGCCAGCTTCTCCTCCATGCCGTGCTCTACGAGCATCCGCCGGGCAAAGGTGCCGAACGCCTCGTAGACCTTCTCGCGAATGGAGCCGGCGTGGAATTGAGCTAAATGAGAAAAAAATGTTAGAAAAAGCTTTCGAAAATTCCCTCCCAAACTTACAGCTCATATCGAGGTACAGGTTCACCCTGGCCATGTCCAGCGTCTCATTATCAACTACCAACAGGTCAACTGACTTTTGGTAGAGTGCGGCGCTAAAGTTGGAGCCAATGGTTAGTAGGGCCCGACTTTCCCCTCCCCACACCGCCTGGTAGCCCGCCTCAAAAGAGGGCACCGGCCGCAGGTCAATGGTGCGATTGTCGATCGACTGGAGAAAGTCCCGACTGTACTGCGGCGGCTGCTCGGCGTTGTACACCGACACCGGGATGTCGTACGGTGGACGGCCGAGGCAGAGGAAGAAGAGGCTGCCTGGGAATTGGGAGAAAAAAATTAGAAGTTGATAAACGAAAATAAAAATAAAATGTGCTTACACTGAACCGCAGGGATAAAGGCGGTAAAGAGCATCACCGGCAGGTTCCGCCACATGCGGATAAAGTTCTTGGTGAGCAGGGCGGAGCTTCGGGCAAAGTGGTCCAGAATGGCATTCCGCTTCATCAGCAGCCGATTGGCCATCACCTGGGCGTCCTGCATCTTCCGGTGCTGCTGCGTGTGCGAGAAGATCGGCGACGTGGGCGAGTGGGCTGAAGTAGTGGTAGTTTTGCTGTTGTTGGCGGTGATTACAGGTGAGGTCTTTTCCGAGCTGCTGCTAATGTTTCCGTTTTCGAGGTCTTCAGAGGAGAAGGTGGTGCACACCACGGCCGTCTCTGTGGGCGGCTGACTGGGCACCGGAACTGAGGTGGTGACAACGGTTGTGCACTGAGGCTCAGCAGGCGCAGGAAGAGCTGTGCTTGAAGAGCTGCCTGCCTCCTCATCACCCTCGGATTTTTGAATCGAAACCGAGAGGAGTTCTTCCTCCTCTCCACCTCCTCCACCTTCCTTGATCATCATCATCTCGACGTCCTTGTCCTTCTCCAGAAGCGGCTTCTTGATGATGGCTCCTTTCTGATCAGCCGCTGAAGACTGATTATCACCTTCTTCCTCCGAGGTCTTCTTATTGCGACAGAGGGCGAGAAAGACCTCCTCGAGGTTGTTCAGCCGCAGTCGGCGAATGAGAGACTCGGGGTTGCCCTCTTCGAGCAGTGATCCGTGGCGCATAAAGGCCACCAGGTTTGCCAGTCGGGCCTCCTCGATGTAGTGCGTCGTGATGATGACGGTGATGCCGTGCTCATCGGTCAGAGATCTAAATGGAGGGGGAAAAAGGGTTAAAATTTTGAAGAGGCAATCTTTTTAAACCTCTCTTTCTTNGAAGTCTTCTTATTGCGACAGAGGGCGAGAAAGACCTCCTCGAGGTTGTTCAGGCGCAGTCGGCGAATCAGCGACTCGGGGTTGCCCTCCTCCAGGAGCGATCCGTGGCGCATAAAGGCGACCAGGTTCGCCAGTCGGGCCTCCTCAATGTAGTGCGTCGTGATGATGACGGTGATGCCGTGCTCATCTGTCAGAGATCTAAATGGAGGGGAAAAAAGGGTTAAAATTTTGAAGAGGCAATCTTTTTAAACCTCTCTTTCTTACCTCAAATGCGACCAAATGGACTGCCGGAGCACCGGGTCGATGCCCACCGTCGGCTCGTCCAGCACCAGCAGCGGTGGCTTATGGACCAGGGCGGCGGCCAGCGACACTCTCCTCGCCTGCCCCCCGCTCAACTTCCCCACCATCGCCGACTTGTCGGGCAGCTCGAGAAAGGAGATCAGAAAGGCAATTCGCCCGTTGATGACCGCCGCCGGCAGCCGGTAGAGGCGGCCAAAGAAGAAGAGCGTCTCCTGGATGGTGAACTCATTGAAGAGGCCAATCTCCTGGGGCATGTAGCCGACGCCCGGCCCGGGGACCAGCGCCCGATGGGAGCCCGGAACCTCGCCAAAGACCTTGACGATGCCCCGCTTCGGCTTCAGGGAGCCGACCAGGCAGTGCACCAGGGTCGACTTGCCGCAACCCGAAGGGCCGAGGATTCCATAGCTGAAGAAAAGGTCGAGATTAAATAAGTTCGAAAAAAGGAGTTCCCCCGAACTTACATACTGCCAACCGGCACCTTGATGGTAATATCGTTGAGCGCATTGACCGCCTTCTTCCCCCGCCCGTAGGCAAAGGTGACATTGGTGACCGTGGTGGCGTACTGTGGAATGGCCCCGGCCCCAGAAGAGCTTGAAGCGGCCATCGTTCCGCCGCTGATCGACATCACTTTGTCTGGTGTCTTGCTGCGGAAGGAAAGGCAAGAGTGTGTCTTTGGCAAACAGTTGTTGTCTCTCTTGGCAGATTAGTTATTATGCGTCTGTTTCTGGTGAGTGAACGAGGAACTTCTGTGTGTTTGGAAAGAAAAAGAAAAGGGGAAAGCTGTTAGCGAAAATCACTCAATCACTCGTTCAATCAATCAGCCAGCAAAAAGAGAGACAAAAGGTAACAAACAATTAAAAGAGCAGCAGTTGATGAGTGTTGTCCATGTTGCTCATCAGTCTCTCAGTAAAGGCCAAATACGAAGACAGACAGACAGTAAACTGAGTGCAAAAAAAAGTCCCGACTGAGTGAGCAGAAAAAAGGCAACATTCGACAGAAGTAATGGTCGTCCGCACACACTTCAGCAAGCACACAAGCTGCTGGAAATAATGGTCGGTGGTGGTAATCGAGAGGAAAGGCAGGCATGAGCAAACACACAGCTAGCTGAGCATAGATGAACAGACAACTACTCTCTACTTCAATCACCCCCGAAAGTGCAAACTGCCGCAGCTGAACTGTGCTGCTTTGAAAACCAGTTTCGAAAGCACCATCAGACACTCACTACAAATTGGCCCTCTCTTGTACGACAGAGAGAGAGTGTACGGCGGCACAGAGAGGTATTGTACAGCAGCAGCTGTGTTGTACACTGTACACCGCAGAGGCCACTTAACACTGAAAGGGGAGGGGAGGGCAAGGCGATGATGATTGAGTGGCAGTGAAGTTCTGCTGCTGCTGCTGCTGCCTCGACCTTGCAGGGTACGAGGGTGCTCGTCCGCCACCACCATCAAGATCATTTCATTCCCCTAAAGCGTCGTCTGATTACCTATGCAAGGAGTGTGGAATAGTAGTGGTGGTGCTGTTATGCATAACATGCATCAAGACAAGGACGGGCAGAGGACATGGCAGTGCACATTTAGAACATCGGTGTGTGTGAACACATCAGAAATCATCGGAAAAGAATGCGAACAGGAAAGTGCAGAAAGATGAGCTGAAATTACAGAAAAACGACTTTTGCCATTTAGAGCATACCCTCCTCCTCGAGGCAGATGGGAACAACAACATACCAAAAGTATAACAAGAGTAATTCAGTAGCAGTGAGCAGATGGGACGCCCACCACCACCACCGAAAATGCACTCAATATTTTCTAACAAGAAAAACAGAAGCAGCAGAAACAAACAGCCCAAAGCATGGTCAGTGAGAACATAAGAATAACAACAACAAGAACAAGAACAGCAGCAGAGCACATTATTATAAGTGGGGGCTGTACAGCAGCGGCGGCAAATCAGCCCCAAAGTGCCCAGCTGCCACCGACAGAGACAGATATCTTTCTAAGAGAGCATCGTCTAGGCAAAAAACAAAAAGAAATTCCGGAAAAAGCAATTCCAGTTAGAGCTTGCCACTTTACGCACGAAAGAGGCAGAGACAGAAAGAAGTGATCGAGAAAAGTGTTACACAGCAGAGATGAGGAACAAACAGAACAAACAAAACAAACAGAAACAGTGAAA